TGGGCTCGGTTTGCCTCTTTGGTGGACACAGTTTGGTTGGAGGCTCTTCTTTAACGTCTCTCCTGAGATTTTTATTGGTAATCAAGAAATTCATGATTTCAATATCTACTTCTAAGTGGAAATGTTTGATTCGAGCATACCAACTCATTATCATGTCTTATTTAATGAGAATTGTTTCAATCTAGATAGTTTATGTGAGTTTGTTCATTCTTATGTGAGTTTGTTAATTATCTATAATAGTTTGTCTATTCACTCTCTTATATATATTAAAGGAGCACAATGATAAAATTTGTGGCGACTTTTCTCTTTGTCATGAAGCATGTTTAGTGGTTTTGGTCTGCTGCCTTTAACCGTGAGCATCCTAGCTGGTTTCTTTTTGTCCTGTTTAGATGCTCTGTGCTGGGTTTGGGGCTTAGTTTTCTCCTCTCTACCCTTGGCCGTGAGTCTTACTGTTGTGGTTTGTGTTATGGTTGGTTTCAGACTTAACTTTCTTCTCATTTTCTTTGGCTATGAGCTTTTTTTACTGGCTCTTTTATGTTGAAAATGGTTGGTTCAAGCTTAAATGATGATGGTCTCCATCTTGTTGCCTTGGTCGTGAGCCTTACCTTGTGTTTACTGCCCTTACCCGTGGGCTTATTCTGTGGTGGCTTTCTCTTTCTTTGCCCTACCCGTGAACTTAAATGTGTGGTGGCCTTCCTCTTGTTGCCCTTATCCGTGAGCCTTACCTTGTGATCTCTTCATGAGATAAGTTGGGCTGGTGGTTGTCCCTCTCTGTTGCCCCTGGTTCTGAGCATTTATATGGTTTTATCTGGATAATTTCATGTTTATATGATATGAAAAGTTTTTTTTTTTAATGAAAGTTGGAATTAAATGATTTTAATTTTGACACGATTTTCTGGAAGGCTAGAAGGTCCCCCCTATGGATTATTCTCCTTTATTTTGTGAAATATAAAAGGCTTTTATAGCTTTATTTTGGGAAATCATAAAGTTGATATGAAACAGATTCATGAAGGGTTTGAAAGCTTATAAAATTGTCATTTGGAAAAGTGTTTGGAGATTCAACATTAAAATTTGGATAACATAAATGCCACATATCGGTTCAGGCTGGGGTGTGTGAGTACATATAGGTGTTGAAGCCGTGGATACAATTGTTACATTAGTTTTGGGCCCGTTTTGACCTGTTTGAAAGAAAATTTAGAAGGGATAGCCTTCTTGGGTTGATCCATTTATAAAATTTGAGAAAATGATATCCTTCTTGGATTTATTCAAGGATCATGGGCTCTCTTTTTTTATGACAGTTTTGTGGTTTGCTCCACCATTCATCCTTTCGATCTTTTGGGTGGATCAGTTCTTCCTCTCTCTCATCCCCATTTTTATTTTTTTTTTCCTTGCTTCTTGGTTCGGTTTTCAGTGCTTATGTCTGCACATAAGTGCTCATATATAGCTTACGATATCATATTTGGCTATATATGAAACCATCAAGTAAGGACGCAAGTAAATGTCAGTTTTGTTTTGGGGCTTAGGGCGATGATGACAAAGGCACGCCGGTGGTAGAGCATGATGATATTTCATCCTACGATATCAGGACCCAATCCTGGGATCTGATAAATTGTAGGATGACAATTTCATTCACCGATACAAGACTAGCGGGAGACCCGTACCTTCTTAAGTTGTTGGCGGTCCTATGCCCGACGACGTGATCGACTCATGAACAACTATACTTTTTTTTAAAAAATTATAAAACAAATTGATAAGAATAAATACAATATTTTTATTACAAAATTGATACAACTTCCTTTTTGTATATTTGAAATCTATGGCATGCTAAAATATAAATTTTACATGTGTTACAACTTGGTTGTTCACTTGTTGATTGCTGATACCGGGCTAAGGAGTACCCTCCTAAGTTAGGTTTAGTAGGACACCCTTCTAGTTGAGTGGCGGGTTCTATACATCCGGGTGACCGATAGTAGCCTTCGACGTCCCTCAAGTATAAATATATACTATCTGAGCCTAGCTCCGACCCGAGTGCTTGCGGTTTATTCTTTCTCCTTGTCGAATTTTTTCGTATGTTTTATTGAAATTTTTGGGCAAAGCACTCGCGGACCTTTTTCTAGGATCTTCCCGAGATTTTGATAATTTTCTTGGAATTGTCATTTCTCGATTTTTCTCGAGTTTTCCGTCGTGGGTTATTTATCGATTTTCTCGAGTTTTTCAGGAAATTTTTCTTTTATTCATGCAATAAATACTAGCTTGTTTAACGGAGCAGCAAACCTCCTAGATATACAAATTTGATTTACATTACAACATTTTACTTCACACCATATTATACTGTTCTTCTTCTTTACTGTACATTCTACTGTTCTTGTCTTTTATACTGCATACTTTATTACACACTATACCTTAGTGTAGGACAACCTAATGATTACATGTACCATTTAAAACTGTCATCAAACTCGAAGGTGCTACGACGAGGGGCATGGAGCGAACACCGTCGGCAACACGACAATGGAATTCAGAAGAACAACGTCAAAACAGATTCATATCACTAATCACTTTCCTTAGTTTAAATAACAACCCATGGGATTTCGAGGTGGTTTGCCTAACGCAACATAAACCCTCACATATCACTTTTAGGTTTTTGCATAACCTTATTGTGCAATTACAAGTCCTAACACTTTAGGATTCTTAGGTTACTGTACGGTACAGTGTAAATCCTCTATCTTTTTAGGCTATTTGCACGATCAGATATCGTGCGAATACAAGTCCTAAATTCTAAATAAATTGCAGGATTAAAACATCAAATAACATTATTTCAAAGATATAAAGTCAAACAATAAGATAGTTGGGAGGTCACCGTTCTTGTCTGGATCCGTGATATCCCCTACTCTTCATTCCTTTGGATTCCTTAAAATAGCTGTTCTTGTTTCCACTCCCATTTGATTTTCTCATGTCCAATCGTGAAAATTTAAACTTTGAAATCTTAAAGGCAGAACCACTGATCTTAATTGAGAGTTTTCTTAAGTGACCCTGGTCATTTGTGATGTAATTAACTATAGGGGCTTGCCTCTATAGGGAATTTGGAGCCTAAGTAAAATAAACCATATATAATCCTTATATTAGATAGGAGAACTTTTTGGCCTCATATAAAAGTGTTTCGCAGACCAAACGAATGTCACAAATTCTTTAGTTTAGTTGATTGAGTTTACTACAAGTGATATGCTTATTCTTCGGGATAAGTGTGTTACTTATGGTATTGCGCTCAGTTATCCAAACCATTCAATATGAAACTCGTTTGGTCTCATCTATTTCAAAATTAAAATATTACTTTAAAAAAAATCAAAATCACATATTTGTATTAAAATTATTTTTATATTTATAAAATTATCTCTTTTTCAAACTATAAAATTAAAACGGTCGACATTTTTCAGTCAAAATCAAATCACGAATATCATCATATTTCACTTAGATTTACCTGCAGAATTACTAAATGTCATCCTCATGGTTTCTCAGTTGTTTGGCAATGAAGTTAATAATATCAGCGCGCGTATCTCATCATCAAAATCAATTTCAACATACGACAACTGATTTGTGATAGTATTGAAATCATTTAGGTGTTGAGCAGCAGACACATCTTCCGCTATCTTCAAGTTGAATAACTTTTTCATCAGATGCACATTGTTATTCACCAATGACACCAATGACTTTTCATACAAAGTCGCCATGAGATCTGCAGTAGTCCTCTCTTTGATGAAGTTGTGGGCAACCGATCTCGACAGAGTTAATCGTAGATCTCGACAGAGTTAATCGTAAGTTAATCGTATAACCCTCAGAACCCGTCGATCCAACATATTCCATTCCGCATCGTCCATATTTTTTGGTCGTTTTCCCAGTAACGGAAGATGAAGTTTCTACCCATAGAGGTAGTCCTCTATTTGCATCCTCTAGTAAGCAAAATCTGTGTCATTGAACTTCTCAATCCCCGATGTCATCACTTCGTATCCACCTATCGTTCTTCTTTAGATTTGAACAAGGGCTCTGATACCAGTTATTGTAAAAACGACGGCAATAAAACGAAAAGTGGAACGAGTAAAATTGCACGCAGAAAAAACACAGAGCGACACACAGATTTACGTGGTTCGACAAATTTGCCTACGTCCACGGAGCTGCAGAAGATTTTATTTCTTCGAGGAATTACACTGTCGAGCGCCTCAACGTTTACAAGAAAATCTCTATTTTCTTATCTCCCTTCCTTTTTCTCTCTTCCTCTCTTTATCTTAGCTCTCAAAAGGATTTGACTTGACGTGACCTTATTTGTGATTTAGATTTAGTTAAATTTGTTATAAGCTCTAAGATTTTCTAGCAAAATTTAAATCACCGTTTAGTGAAAGCTTTGTGTGTTTTCAGATATCTCATTGAAAGAGAGTAAGTTAGGAGTTGGCGAAATACAAAATTTTAATCTTTTGCGTGCTTGTTTTTTGCTCCCTGTGTTCTGTGAGAAATCTTTGATCCTAAAATGTTTTGCATCACTTGGCTAATAATAAGTGCTAGTAACTCTTGATATAAAAAATCAATATTTTAGCCAAAAAAAAAAAAAAAAAAGATTTGAAAATATTATAATAATGATCCCTTCAAATTGTAGGATGACTCAAAATTTATTGAACACTTTGTCGATTCTTTCTCAATTGAGCCGCCATTATGGTTCACCTCCTGTTCGAATCTGCAGTATTTTCCATCTTTGATATTTAAATAATTAGAATGGTAAGAGCCTCACCTTATCCAAAAAGTTAAAATTTTGAAGTTCTTGTATGTCATATTTCTATCTATTTATAATCTTTAAGAATATATAAACGATGCATTTTACTCCATTTTGTAATCAAGCACACTTATTGCTTTAGCATGTTTTTGGGAATCCTCTTCCTATATATATATATATATATATATATAAATTGATATCAGTCCTCTACTGCCCTAACAGCTGTTTTCTGCTTTGGATGTAGGACGGGCTTTACCTTTATGATCAAGCTCCTGGCTTCATGTTGAGAAACGTATTTCTGTAGCCAACCAATGATTTTGAAAAGGATACTTTCTTAAGCTCAGAGAAAACTTGAACTGTATCAAGTAACTACTGCAACTATAATCTTCGTTTTTATTTAGTTGTGGATATTTTATCTTCTTGCGATAAACCAATTTTAAAAATATGAAAAATCAAATTTTCAATGTGCCGCATTCTTAGAATCTATGTTCTCAATTAGAATATACATTTTTGAAACATGTTCATGTAGTATCTTTTGAGTTATAATAATTGTACTTCCAAGCAAGGAAATAGTTCTTGCAATGAATGCACATTATGCACGTTTATACTTATTATTATTATTATTATTATTATTATTAATTACCATAACTTAATCATTAGGCTAAGGTGATTATGGAATTCTTTTGCTAAAGACATTTTGAACAAATTTCAGACCTTTTGCTGTTGATATCCATTTGAATGTTCCTTCATGCGGTTGGTCTAATCTTACCTGCTTTCTCCTTGATAAGTTAGGTTTATATTTACTACTAGTTTTATGCTTGCATAAAATTTATATAGATATAATATAGGCCATGTTTGGGTAAACTGCGTTTTGACAGCTGATGCGTTTTGAAAATGTTGAACGCACCTATCTAGGTTCGGTGGCAGTTTTCTGACAGCGGTCTGGCTTCTCTAAAAAAATAAAAATTTGTAATAGTCACAACACCTAGCTTATCAACAAATATTTTTAATCAACTTATCAACAGATTATTCAATAAGTTGCAGCTGTCCCAAACAGACCCATAATGTTAAAATATAGTGTCGGAGCTCGTTGATGAAAGCTTTGCGAGCCTTATCGCTCTTTGTTCTCCATTTTACTTTTTCAAAAAAAAAAATCACAATTTCATTAATACTGAATGAGTATTCTATGGTCGACAATGATAATATTTCTCATTTAATAAACATTAAAAAAAGGGTGGAGTTTGATTTATCTGAAGGGAAATAGTAACCTAGATGTGAATATTATAATTCACCAAATATACGAATCTCAAATCAAGTCATGGAAGTGCACATACAAAGATGATCTACATACATTTTGAGATAATCTAACAGTCCATATAAGAAAAATAAAATACTCTATGCAACTTTCTTTAAAAAGTAAGGATGATTATATAACTTTATGTTTTGAAATTTCTATTTTCTATAAATAGGAGGACTATAATATATATTAGGGGTTTTGGTTTTTTTCTCACAATCCCTCTCATATAGGAAGGCCCCTTCCCTTCTTAATGTAACCATTGTATTCAAGGAATAAAAGGGTCAAAGAGCCCGGGAACGCTCTACTTTGTTTCTACGGGGCAAGTTTTGTTGTTTCTTTTTCCCCACCTGTCTCTCATTCTCTCTCTCTCCCTCTCCCTCTCGCTTGGTCTAATATGCTCAATTCCTTGAGTGTGTCTCCTAAACGATTTCGGATTCAACATTCTAAAAAGTGCGTTGAGCGTAGACTACGCCATCAACAAGAAGAGGATCAACACCAATGATGAACTCCTTAGAGGTACACTCCTAGTAAAGAGAACATAAGGGGGAACTTGTACAACAATGAATTCACCCTATTTATTCCTCGTTGTCAGCCATCTCCAAGAAACTCCATCTCTTTCTCCATAGATCTACTCCATCTCTTTCTCCATAAATCTACAAGAATCTCTTAACAACTCATCCAATTTCTCACTTTTCCCGATAGATTCAATAAAGACAGAGGTGTGTGCAAAAATTGGGTGCATGTTTTCCTCTTCAAGATCTAGAGACTACCTACGCTTCTGCTGTCACACAAAATTTCATGTCAACCACTCATCTCCTAGTCACTCCTTCTAGTCGCACTGATGCCCCCACACTGGTCACCTCTCTGCCGCGCAAAATTCAGCCTCGACCACTCACCGACCTATCACTCCTCCCAGGAGCACGAACACCTTGCACTGGCTGCCTCTTTGTCTCGCAAAATTTTGTGATGGCCACTCACCACCTCGGTCATTCCTCAATGTCGCACGAACGCCCCACATCGACCACTTGACTATCATGGGGAAGACTCATCGTGCCGGTTGTATCTATCGGCCAACTGCCTACTCGCAAAGGCTATCCACCTGTTTTTCTTCTATGTCATATACGGGTCTCGCCGCACCGGCCATATCTCCTGGCCTGCCACTAACCTCGAAGGCCGCACATGCTTATCTTCTCTGTTGCGCTCAGGACTGATTGTGTTGGCCATATCTGCTGGCAGACCGCCTCACCGAGTCAGCTACCTAACTAGTCGGTCGCGGTGCGGTGCCGACCATCTCCTCCATACCTTTTAAAGTCTCCAAATCTAACAAGGTCACGTGTTTTTTTTGAATGAGATGGTTTTTTTATATTCAAATTTTTTTTTTCTATATTTAATATCCTTTAAATCAATAGAAGTTTGCCATTCAATTATTAAGAAGCATAATTACATAAAATACCTGCCCTTGAAATTTGATATGATATATTAATCCTTCAGCGCCAGATCAAAATCTCTGCTTTATTAACTATATCTATGGTCCTCTTCGACCACAGATAGGTTGCTATTTTTGCTGGTGCATGATTATGTTATTTTTTTCAAAGCTTATTCTATTACATATGTACATTATAATATTTGGTATTTTAATGTGAGAGGTCAATGTCAAGGAGTTCAAGCATTTCTGAACCCGAGTAGTAAAATCGACAGCGACGCCAAGAGCGTCTGCTCGATTAAAGACATAAAAAATAACCTGCAATGGCGTCAAGAGCGCGCGATCAATTAAAGGCATACAAAAATAACTGAGAGTGACACTATAGACGTCCGCGGTAAAACACTCTGCGGGAAAGCCAATGAACTTTCCTTACTGCAAAATAAGTCTCGAAGATTGGATTGGACAAAAAATTAGAGATGATTCCCTGCTCTATAGAGTTAAACTCCGTGAAGGGTACGACGACAATCATTCCGAAAAGGAGTTTAGGCGGCCGCCTCCCATTAAAAAGGAACTCAACCTTAGACAGATGTCCGACCGAGTGTCTAGTATCATATAAGTGAAAGGTTAGAACTTGGTTGCGGCATAAGCTTCTTGTTCAAATAAAAACGATCAGTCATGACGCCAAGATCGACTGGTCAGTCCCACAATCTACCCAAAACGCCAAGCATAAAATAGCTTGTCTCTAAACTTGACACGAATGAAGCTTTGGAGGTGGAGGTGGTTCACTGCCCAGTAGCGACAAGCTCCATCAAGGGTACGTCGAAAATCACCCCAGTAGTCAGTCTCGATGGTTGCCCCCTCGAAGGCGGCGACGAGATTTTCTTAAAACCTGGTGAAATGTGCGGTCCAAGCGAGGCAACAACTTGACCAAGCAGCAAATGAGATATAGGCATTGTAAGACTTGTGTCGGGTAATAAATACATAAAAAATAACTAACTATCTCTCCGAAGATTTGATTAATCGAATAACACCAATATTCACCACAAGCAACTTTCACAAGCAAATAACACCGTAAAATTAGAAGTTGAACCAATCAAAAACTTCTCTTCTTTCCAAACATGAAAACTTGTAAAGTGTTTCCTTATAGAAGCTTTCTTTACGAAAAACTTCTTTAGAAAAGTTTGCTATCCTTATACAAATAAAAAAATAAAAATAAAAATTGATACATTTTTGGCAAATTTCCATCATCGGGCACAAATCTTGAAGTATAACATAGATCACGATGTGACTTTTTGAGCAAATAGTATTCAAACCTCAATAAAAACTCAACCGAAACTTCGATTTCAGCAAAGTTATAGTTAAACTAACCAGCTTGACAAGAAGAACCCAATGTTAACAAAATTAGTCTAATTTAAGTTAAATCAAGTTTTGATGGAGTCATTAAACCACTATTGGAAGTTTTCCAAACATATTTAGAAGGTTAAACGAATGTCAAATCTAGCAAGTCTATAATAGAATCGAGCGCCCGACAAGAAGAATCCAACAAACCTAAGATTTATTAATTCCGACATCGTTCAGACACTCAAATGCCCATCAAATGCCGTTTGATCGAAGGAAGCCCTCCGAACCGTCCAAATAAAGTAGTTCATATTCATGCATTCATTGAACCCAAAACAGTATAAATAGAGCCCCACCACTCTCATGAGAGAGGGTTGGAGGCTTGAGAGAGAAGTTAAAGCTTTGAGGAGCTGAATTCCAGCACCACCCCTGTCACCGTTTACCGCCGCAGGTCGTCGTAGATCACCGTCGGCCGCTGTCGAGCACTATTGTCCCAAATATGGCTCCCATGACCTACAAACATCATTACAAGTCACCACTAATGCCTACGTGACAAACTACGATCTACTTGGTCCACAGTTCATGCAGCTCCCGACTTTCGCCCCCCTTGACCTACGGAGGCAATTACAACTCATTATCAAGGCCTACTTTATCGGCTACGACTTACATTGCCCACATGTAGTGCAGCTCCCGATTCCGACCCTCACGGCCTACAAATGTCATTACTACTCATCACTGCAGCTTACGTGACCAACTACAATCTATGTGGTCCACAACTCGTGTAGCTCCTAACTCTGACCCCTGCGATCCATGTACGTTATCGCTCCTCGCCACTATGGCCTATACGACTTACGTGTTCCACAACTCCCGCAACTCTCCCCTACATCCTCTATGGTCAACCGACGCACTGGCCACTTGGCCTACTAGTGTCATGATTCTCAACTACGACTTTTACAATAAACTGACACCTCAACCACCGTCTACAACACTCACGACGAACTACTACCTCCGCGATAATCGACTATGACTCTTTCAGTCTGTTGTATTACAACCAGATTACGGATGTCCAATTTTGTAATTTCATCTTCTCTAATTCAGGAGAAGAGAACTAGTATAATCATCATTCATAGTGGATTATTTCAACTGGAATAGACTCTCTGATTTTTTTTCTTATTCAAGGTTTTTTCTTGTAAAAAGTCAATGTATCTCCTCCAGCTTATCTCTCTTTGATTATCTGAATGTGTGTTTAATTCTCATATAACTCTAAAACAATAATATATTAATTTTTTAATGTGAAGTTTTTAGCACTCATAAGTCTTATTTATTTATTTATTTATTTTTATTTTTTTTTTGTAAATAATTAAACATTCTCTCTTGATGTAAGAAGACAAATATACACAATTTACAAAGCGCGTTTGTACCCAACTGCAAAACTACAAATATGAAAT